AAGCGGGTTTCGGTCCAACCCGGAGGCCGGGGTTTGCCGTGGGATGTGCAAAGTCCTCCGGCGCGCGCGCCAGCCCTCAGCACCTCCCTATATGGGTAACGTTCGCGCTTTAAACCTCTCGGGCCGCACCCGAGGGCGGACGGATGGACGGACGGAGGACCGAGCCGGGGGTGAGTGCTCAAGCCCGGAGCCAGGCTCGTTCCCATCCCACCGAAGGCAGAGGCTCGGTTAAGCATTGCTCCCGGCCTCCGGCTCCAGCGCCGCGGGAAAGCCCAGCACCAAACCCCCCAAAGAGGCAACCCTCGTGGTCGCTGGGGAAAAACAAAACCACAAAACCCCCCAAAACAGCCCCGCAAAGCATGCTTCCTTCAGCGCTTGGCTACTTTACAGAAAGAAACTTCTTTCTTCCAGGTTGTCACGCTTAGCTGGTACCACGCTCAACCCTCCGTTCAAGGTGTAACGAGGTCAAAAGCCACCGCTCTCCGAGAAGGGCAGGACGCGAGGTAGCAGCTGGCCGCTGACGTTGGATGCGCGGCCCTTGTTTAAGGCCGTAATGCAAGAAAAACTGCCCAGAGAGGGTCACTGGTCCCGGGGATAACTTAAAAGCAGCAGCGGTTTGCCACCAGCTCCTCTCCTCGGCGGAGCGTCTCTGCTCAGTAATGCAAAAGGTCCTCAGAAAACGCACGAGACTTTGCCCCGGTTCCTGCCGGGAGCACCTGCAGACCCAGCCGAGACCTTCGGGGCCGAGGAGCGGAGACAAATTCGCTGATATTCACTACCAATTTGACCCGTCGGCGAAGGCATCGCTGCTTCACGAGGGGCTTTCACACCTAGTGTCCCCTCGCCGTCCCCAGGGTCGCAGCAGGCGGCTCCTTCTCGCCCACGCCAAGAGCGTCAGAGCGACACGGACACGGGGGGGACGAACGCCCCTAAACCAGGGTGGCAAAAACCCACCTCCCAGTGTGGTTTAAATTAATTAGGTCTGCAAGTTAGTTCCCAAAGATGCCGTGAAGTCACCTGGCTTCCTTCCTGCTGCCAGGGGTAGCCTGTTTCCAAAAAT